TTATACTCCTCTTATCTATTCAACAGCTCTTTCACTAGTTTCCAATAGTAACATGACTCATGTGTTTCCTATTCAAAATGCTGGACTAGATATGCTGTGTGGTTGACTCCTGTTCCAGATGGAAGTATAAAAAAGTCTTCATGTGGGGGCGCCTAGGTGGCTCAGTCATTAAGCGTCTGCTTTCAGCTCAGGTCATGATCCCAGGGTCTTGGGATCGAGCCCCGCATCGGGCTCCCTGCTCAGCGGGAAGCCTGCTTCTCCCTCTCCCACTCCCCCTGCTTGTGTTCCTGCTCTCGCTATCTCTCTCTGTGTCAAATAAATAAATAAAATCTTAAAAAAAAAAAAAATTAAAAAATTAAAAAGTCTTCATGTGTGAGGTAGGAATTACCTGTTTCGTGTACTCTTTTCTTGTTGATGTCTTAGGTCGTATTGCTCACAGTTTGATTGAGAATTCACAATCTTACCTTGGCCCCTAGTTCTTATTTGCCCAATTTCTGACTTGCAAATTTTCATACCTTGTCACCACTTATCTTATTTGTATATGTATATGTGCATATATATACATGTATATATAGTTATGAGGATTTTTGAGATCTTGTGGTATTTCATGCCTCACCTTCCCCCCCCCATTCAAAGCCATGTCTTGCTGCTTTCTGTTCTGTGATTTTCATTAACACAGCTTTCCTAAAAATAATGAGACAATGAAGAATATAATGAGTATGATAGTTAACTTTTTTTTTTTAAGATTTTATTTCTTTATTTGAGAGAGAGAGAATGAGAGACAGAGAGCACGAGAGGGAAGAGGGCAGAGGGAGAAGCAGACTCCCTGCCAAGCAGGGAGCCCGATGCGGGACTCGATCCCGGGACTCCAGGATCATGACCTGAGCCGAAGGCAGTCGCTTAACCAACTGAGCCACCCAGGTGCCCCGATAGTTAACATTTTAAAGTATTGACTATGAGCTAGGCACAAAGTTATACGATTTAAGTACACTTTAAATGGAATCCTTACAACACATCTATCAAGTGGGTACTATCATTATCCCCATAAGGAACTGAGCTTTAGAGAGCTTAACATACCTGAGGTTACTCAGACAGAAAGTGGCAGAGCTAGGATGCCAACCCAGAGCTCATGAATACTACTATGCCACAACTTGTCCTTTTGTACCAGATGCATATTAAACATTCAGAGGGAGAAAAAAGCCAATCCCAACAAATTTCTCTAAACTCTCAAAGACTCCATGTCTAATAATTATCTTTGTAATGTCATGGATTTATCATTAAAAATTTTGCCCAGTTCAAGTTGGAGATAACACTTGCAATACAGTCCTATTGATACTAGAGTTGGTTTTGCATGGCCCTAGATACAGATACACACACACACACACACTGGATACAAGTTTAAGAAGTAGCAGTTCAAAGTAGAAATGCCAATGGGACTTCTGTTAGACCAGCATCAAAATAAAAAAGAGAGGAGAGAAAAGGAAGAAAAGTAGCAGTGTTTATTGAGCTTTTCATGTTATCAGTTAATGTATTAAAATACTTATTTAACCCTTACAACAACTTTTTATTATCCTCACTTTACATGGGAGAAAATTAAATGTGAAGAGGTTATTACTCTTACTTGGCAGATGAAGAAATAAAGGACTAGAAACTGAGATCAAAATCACATAGCTAAAGTGTCAAAGCTGAGCTGAAAACCCAGGGTTAGCTAAATTCCAAAGCCTATGGAATTAATCACTGCAGGTGGTAGACAGATTCTAGAGTAGCTACCATGATTTCTACCTCCTGGTACTTACATCTTTGTGTAATCCCCTCTCCTTGAGTGTGGGCAAACCTTGTGACTTGCTTCTAAACCATAGACCGTGGCAAAGATGATAGAATGTCACTCTTTCTCCCTAGCCAACTCACTTTAGAGAGTTTAGAGGCACTCTTCACCAGTTTGATGAAGTAAGCAGTCATAATGAGAAAATCTACATGACAATGAACTGCAGGTGGCCTCTAGCCACTGAAGGCAGCCTCCAGCTGGGCTCTCAGTCCTACAACTGCAAGAAAAGGAATTTTGCTAACAACCTGAATGACCTTAGAAGCAGATTGTTCCGCAGTCAAGCTTCCAGATGAAAACACAGCCTGACTCATGCTTTAATTGAAGACTTATGAGACCCTGAGTAGAAGACCAAGCTACACTGTGTATAGACTCCTGACTCACAGAAAATGTAACATAATAAAAATGTGTTATCTTAAACTGCTAAGTTTTGCTAATTTTTACACAGCAATAGAAAACTAATATACCCTGTTACCTTGGTTTTCCCTATGCTAGGAGCACAGTAAATTCTTAGTAAATGGTAGTTGCTATTATTATGATAATCAAAATGGAAATTTGAGTATCAGAGTCAAAGAGAAATGTAACAGAAATTTAATAAAGTTAAATAATTGTTTCCATTTTAATCAAGCAACTGCTTTAGGAGATAACAGATGATGGTATGTCAAAAACTTTTATATTACTCCCAACAATTATTGAGTGTATTATTATCACATGAAATATAAAATTTCTAGTGGTGCTTATATCCACATATTGTTTTACTGTCTTACAGTATACTCAAAGTAAATTAGAAAGTTTCCTACATTAAGATAGTCCTACATAGATATGAAGACATAGTAAAACACAGTTTCAGGTTAACAATACTTTTTATAAAGTGTGGTTTTTAAGTGTGTTATAAAGTGTGTAACATTTTTAAAAAAGATTTTATTTATTCATTTGCCATACAGAGAGAGAGGGGGGGAGAGAGAGAGCTAGCATGAGCAGGGGAGAGGCAGAGGGAGAGGGAGAAGCAGGCTCCTCGCTGAGTCAGGAGCCCGATGGGGGCTCGATCCCAGGACCCTGGGATCATGACCTGAGCCGAAGGCAGACATTTAACCGACTGAGCCACTCAGATGCCCCAAACATTGTAAGTTTTTTAAATAGCTTTAAATATGATGGATAAAATAATTCAGGGCATTGGATCAAAAAAGGAAACTGTGATGAAACTACTATCAGCATAATACTTTCAGTTCATGAATGTGTGTATATTTTGCTTATCAAGGATAGTTTATACTAAACACATGATATAATTATACATATTTAACTATAGAGTAGGTTAGAGGACTTGAGTGGGTTTCTATCTGATAGATTTAAGGTTTGCTATTGTGGGAAAAAAGACAGGTTAGTGTTTATGTCTAACTAAATTGCAAAATTTTTCTGATTGTATCTTCTACCAGTGCCCCCTTTCCCTTCTGTGTTTACACTGGCATGTGAAGGTACAGTTTCTGTCAAACAAGTCATTAAAGATGGTGTTCGTTGACTGAATAGACACATTAATCTCACTACTGCTGCACACAGATATGCACTGAACATATAGTAAATATAAGCATAGATCTTCTATAGGTGTTACAGCATCAGAAAATTTGCCCATTCTCTCTCTAGTGAGAATATGTGACCCCAAGACCATAGCCATTCATAATTCTTAATAGGTTTAATAAATACTATGCCAAATATAGTGTTAGTCATATGGTAGCTAATATCTTTTTCATATTTGCTTCTTTTGAGGGCAATCATGATTTCTATCAGTTTTTCTTAATTTTTTGTCATCTGTGTTTTCTGGAAACAAACACTAATAATGGATCTATGCACATTTATTTGTGGTTTGGCTTTTCTAATGATTGACTCAATGAAATCAATCATTTCTAATGAAGTGATTCAAGAGATAACAAATGAATATATTAATTAATTTGAAATTTATCTAACTTTAAATTAAATTACTTGTCCAGTTAACAGGGTTTTGTTTTGCTTTCTTCTTGGCAAACTTTATCGTCAGCATTTATGTAATTTTCTGTTTAGATTCACGATTATGAATTGTACTGTGGCAAAGTAAAAGTAAACACCTTGTAATATCCCTGAAAGAATTAAGCATTTCTTCCTATGGCATGTTATCTACAGATGGATAATGAGGAAAGCAAACCAGTCTGTCTTGTTCTAGTGTCTAGGAGATACCTTGTGGTTATTATTTAATTCAAGTGCCAACTAGAGCAGCCTGGAATCTTTTTTGGAACAAGGTGGGGTATAAACACAAATATTTTTTAAAAGGCCAAACTGCCAGGTTTAAGGCAGCTTTTGAACTATTGTTGACTTCCTGATACAGGTTCAAAATATGGGAAATTGCTAAGTACATTTCTTAGTATAATCTATAGACCGATTCTAGACTTAAACTGAAATTATTTTCCTCTCTGGCCTTGGATGAAATTTGGTAAAGCTTTCCTTAATATTTTCATAATAAAAACTCATCTGGTTCTATATGAGATCAGGGATTTAGAAGGATTTATTACTTTATAGTTAAATTTATTTCATATTGGGGGTAGATATTCTTCCTCTCCTTACAAAATTGTAGGGAATGGATTGAATTTAGAAATACATAAGGTGAGAATTTCCTCTCAACTATTTTTGTTGCATCCTTCTCTTTTGTCCTCCCTTCCCCCCAACTTTAGCTCTTTAGTGGGTAAAATATTTCACAAAGTTGTGTTTGCAGTTTTCAAAGTGACTTCTTGGAAATGAAACTTGCATCAACTTTTTTTCTTAATCCCCAACTGTAAGAGCCACATTTTCACTTTTGATTTGTTAAAACAGACTGGCTTATAAATGCCTGAAACTTTGGTGGATATTTTTAGGCAAGGAATAGTTTCAAAATTGAAAGAAATCCTCTTAAAACTGAGACATAAGCACAAATGATTGAGAGCCCTTTTTTCTCTTTTTAAAAATATTCTAAGACATTTCCTTTTTTGCAGATTGCTCTTTTATTAGATTAAAATTGCAAGCCCTCAGACACCAGGCTGAATTGTATTACTGTTAACAATCACAGTGAGAAGGTATTAATACACAAGCACTTCAAGTATCGCAGTCCAAGAGCAGAAATAACCGGTTTACGTGCCAGAATAGTCTGATAGATGCCTGGTATGGAGGCCTGGAACTAGGGGAAAACAGAGAACGACTCCGTGGGGGAAGGCGTCAACAGAGAGACAATGCACTGTTTTCAGAGTCCAGTGGGTTGTTGGGGAGAGGATGACCTTTAACCTTTCGGGGAACATTTATTTGGGAAACTGAACAGCATTCACTTTGAGGGGGCGAAAGAAGTGGAATGTTGTGGAAGTATCTACTTTAATAGGTCCTGGGTGGGCTTAGGGACGTTCGGAGTCGGTTGGTCTGCGGGGTGGGCGAGCGCCACGCCGAGGAATCGCGGGCCAGTCCAGGACAGGCGGAAGGCGGCCTCTGGGTGCCGCTGAGAACAACTCGGGTGGGGGCAGGGTCGTGGGGAAAAGTAGAGTTCAGCGTGTTTCTGCCTTTGCGTGTAGGGCTATCAGAGGAGGCGCAGAGGGGCGGCGCGGGGTATTTCCCGCTCCCGGGGAAAGCCGGCTGCGCCCGCGGCGCCCGCGCCGCGGCCCCTCTCCCGAGGCGGCGAACGCTCCCCCCGGCCCGGGCCGCGGCCCTCCCGCCCCGGCGGAGGCGCGCGGTGGATTGTGGGCTGGGGGCTGCGGCGGCCTCGCAGCGGCCTCCGGCGCTGTTTCCCGGACCGAGCCGGGCCGAGCCGGGCCGGCGGGGTGAGGGGAAGCAGTGGAGCAGCGAGCAGAAGCGCTAGGGGTAGTGGTCGCGGCGCGGCGCGGCGGCGGCGGCGGCTCCTCTGGAGGCCGGGGATGTGGGAGAGGCGGTGGCAGCAGCGGCGGAGGCGGCGCTGCGGACCCGGGGGAAACTGCTGGCTGACAGGACACCCGGGAGAGACGTGAGGGAGCCGCCGCTGCCGCCTCTCACCCGCCGCCTCTCAGCACAGGAGGCCCTGTGCTCCCCCCGGCCGACGGGCCAGCCGGCGCGGGGCGGGGGCGGGAAGCCGGGTTCGGGCCCGGCGGGGCTCAGGGCGGCGGCGGCCGCGGAGCAGCCTCGGCGCGACGTGGAGGGCTGGAGGCGGCGGCGATGCACTAGGCCTCGCTCTGGGGCGGCTGCCCGGGACCCGCAGGTAGGTGTCGGGCCGGCCCCACTCGCCCCCCAGCGCTTCGCGGCCCACCCTCACCCCGACCTCCGGTGGAGAGAGGGCCCGAGACCCCACCCCCTGTGTCTCCTCCCCGGCCCGAAGCCGATAGAGTTTCGGTCACAACTGACGGGCGCTGAAGCTTCCATTCTCCTCTCGGCCGCCTCCACTTCTGCGTTTTCGGTCCGGCTTTGGGATCAGGGCCGGCAGCTGTTCTCCCCACCTCCAGTCGGCGGCCGAAAACGCCGCTGTCCCCCCTCTCGCCCCTCTCTGGGATCCGGGCTTTGGAACTTCCACCACCCTCCTTAGATGCCGCCCCCAAACTTTCCCTTTCTTTTTCCAGCCGGGCCCTTAACCCTCTTTTGAGCCTACTGGAATAAATAAATGGAAAAAAAGAAAAAAAAAAATCGTTTTTCTTCCTAAGGTAGAAAAGGAAGGCTAACCCCCCCCAAATAACTCGGTGTTTTGCATTTTGACGATTTAGCTCGCAATAATTTGTTCAGTAATTAATTTTCTTCAGTTTTGCTTCTTTCCATCTGTGCATTGATAAAAAAGGAGGCCTCCCCTGCCCTCCTGTCGTTGACAAGGGACCTTTTGGCTACCCATTATAACTAACCACTTGGTCTGTCCATGTGTAGAGTTCAGGATGGTATTTTTAGAATTTTGACTGACCCGAGTTTACAAGTTTCGTTTTAATTCACTTTTAACCAGCTTTATTTTTTTGGCTTTTATTGAGTGAGGCGCCCCTTACTTTCGAAGAATTAAATTGTTTGGACTGTTCTGTTTTTTGTTTTTAATTGGCTCTTTCTGGTTTGTCAAACCCCAGGGCAATCTTAATAGTAAATGCTTACAAGGCAAATGATATCATGATACAGTATGCTGAGAAATGCGTTATTGTGGTAACTTAAAACTGCAGATTTTGATGGACATTCAGGTTGACTTTTATAAATCTGGAGAGTTCTAATTGGAAAAGTACTTTGAGAGCCTTGATTTCTAAGCAGTTTTGGTGGAACAGATGGAATGATGGGATTTGTCTATATTTGTATTGCAGTCAGAGTCTAATTTCCTAGAAATAGGTATTACTTGATGGTTCATAGTGATGGTCATTGCTCATGATAGATTTTGGTAAAAATGATCAATATATGCAAATTTGGGGTGATGAAGAGTTGTGGTTTGGGGGATTAGATGTTTGCAGTTTTATTATGATTTGGCTATTTTTAAATTAAGCTCTGTTAACTTCAGAATTATTACACTACCAGGACAGATATTACAGTTTGAGGATCATTTTTAAAAGAAAAATGTTGTAAGGTTTTCTTTGTAAAGAATGCATCACAGAATTATAAAGACTTTCCATGTTTTGTTGATAATACTCTTGTATTTTGTTCTTGTAGAGGTATTGCTACTCCACATTTGGCTTTCTGAAATGTTTTTCATTGTTTTTATGTTATTCAAAGTTTGTTAGGAAAAAATGAAATTTTTGTATGTTTTCTGGAAAAGTTAAAATTTATTTCTGGATAGGTATTAAGTTTGTATGTCAGAATTAAAATCAAATCTTATATAACTCATGAAATGGCAAACTTTGCAGAATTTTTAAATCACTTCCTTTTCCTATCAGTGAAAGTTGATTAAAATTCTTTTTTCCTGCTTTTAGTTTTTACATACAACTTTGAGTAAAGCACACTCATTTAAAGTGTAAAATTAAATGATTTATAGTATATTTACAGAGTTGTGAAACCATCATCATAATCTAATTTTAGAACATTTTCATCACCCCAAAAAGAAACCTGCTCATTAACAGTACTCCCCCATTCTCCCCACCCTACCCCCCCCAAGCAACCACTATTCTACTTTCCATCTTAATATTTGCATGTTGTGATTCATGCATGTAAATGGTATCAGCTCATAGCTTTTTGAAGTGTTTCTTTTAAAATCAACTTACCTGTTTAAAATATTTTGAGTCCGAGAATAAGCAGCTGATCACTGGTGTTAATAATCCATGTTCTAAACAACTGACATTCTATTTGGTTATATTCAGCATAGATTAAAGTGTGGAGAAAGAAAAAGTTAGCATGAATGATTTCAGTGACCTCAAGAGGTGGTCTGGTTAGCTGGGAGTCAAGTAAAAGTTGGAGTATCTTTGCCATTGAATATTAGGATATCAGGGTTAGAAAAAACCTTAACGGCCATCATCTTACTTCCTGCTTGTTTCACAAATAGATGGCAGGAACCATATAAATTCTGGAGTGGAAGCTTGAATTTCTAGGATGGTGGCTCAAGAACCACAGTGTGGCCATGTAAGGCAAGAAATGGGGATTTGCTAATTAGAATTGTTAGGTTCTTTTATGTGTGCATGTGTTTGACAATTTACTAGCAGAGCTGGAAAAGAACTGGACATTTCCCCATTTGGGGATGGAGGGTTGTGGGGAGACTAATGTATCCACATGGATGAAATCCATCTTACAAAATCCTCTAAAAATGCTTTAATGTAAAGGAGGAGGGTGTATACTGTATATTATTTAGGCAACTTCTTGTATTGTTACCATCTTGTTTTTAAAAATTCAAATTTTGAAGACAAAATTAATTTTAAAGAATTAAGATTAACAAGGCTGATTATAGGCCTCCTTTTTCAAAGACCCAGGGCCCTAACATCTAAACTAATGGCTCTCATACAGTGGTGAATTTGCCCTCCAAGGGACATTTGGCAGTGTCTAGAAATGCTTTTTGTTGTCACAACTGAAGGTGGGGTGCCATTGGCATGTAGCCAAGAATGTTGCTAAACTTAAAATGCACAGGATACATCCCATGTCATCCCACCATCCCCATACAACAAAGAATTATCCACCCAAATGTCAATAGTATTGTTTTAAACCTGTGGTTTGCATTATTCCAGTAAGTGTCTAAGCTAGTGTTCTCAACTCCCACTAGGTGGGAAAATAACTCTCACTAGGTACTGTTTAGTATATTAGATTAACTCTTTAGGTTTTCCAGCAACTCTCTTTGTAGTGGGAAGCAGTTAAGGGAAAAGTAGAAGGCAATCTAATTATGACACAATGCAGATATTCTTTAGTCTGTTTAGGTATCTCCAAATCTGAAGAAAAAAAAATTTTTTTCCCCCTGAAAATGCAAAAGCCTTGTTTTTATTGCAGATTTGAACTATTATTATGTTTTGAATTGTTGGTTACTGGTGCATAGTTTTTTGGAATTGAAATAGATAAAGTAGTATTTTTTTTTTTAATGTAAAAGTGATTTTTTTTTCCTGGTGGCTTCAACTGCCAAAAAAGGAGAGAAGTAAGCTAACTTTTAATTAATTAATTACTAATATATATTGTGAATGTCCAAAAAGATTCAGAGCTCATATATGAATTGCATCTTTTTTCCTCATTCTTGGAGGCCCCACTTTTGATTCACTTAATTTGTTTTTTATTATTCATTTACTTATTTTCATTTAATTTGTTTTTAACAAGCTTAACTTGGTGATGAAAGAAGAAAAGATTGACACTTGGGATCACTTTTGCTATTTACCTCTCTTACTACCTTAGATAAATTACTCAGTCTTTCTGAGCCTTGATTTTCTCATCTATGAGAAAGGAATAGTGATAATTCCTATATTATAAGGTGATTGTGAGAATTAAATGAGGTAATGTGTGTTTAGATGCTATGTCAACTATAAAACTGTAAGAATTAGTTACTACACCTGAAATTAATGTAATGTTATATGTCAATTGTACCTCAATAAAAAAAGTTGCTTGTTTCAGAAGAATCAAATTAAAATGGGACATAGAGGGTACCAAAGTCAGGAGCATAGACAGCAAGGCAGAGAACAGTGACTGTTGATAGTATCTCTAGGGAGAAGAGAGAAATTCTAAAAATATACTGATAACAAAATAGTAAAAGAACTAGTATTATCACCAAAAATTTCAAATTCTTTACTGTAGGAGTAAATTGACATCCTTCAGTAGCACCTGGAAGTATCACTATTATAGCACAGTATAATAACTGATTATAAGGGTGAAATTAACTTATCAAGAAAGGGTTACCCATTTTCAAAATATGCTATTTGAGAAGTTATGAAAATATATAATTTCAGAATTAAATTTTTCAGAAGTGACTTATTTGTACAAAAAGTTTTAGCCTTTTGAAGAGTAAGCTGCAGTTATCTGGATTAATTCCCTTGTTGGGAATAATTCCTCTGTCTTCATTTACTATTCATGTCTTATTTTATAATTACAGGGTATTCTACCACTAATAATTGCTCTTCAAATGTGAGGATTTAACTGAATAAATAGAGTTTTAAAGCCTACTCACTATTTGTAAAATCTTAATCTCTTTCTAGATTTGTTTCTTTTTCTATTATTTTCAACTTTTTGTAAGAGATGCTTTGATTTTTCTACATGTCCAGTAGCCCATGCTCTAGTGTTTAGAGTTGAATTAACTAAAATACATGAAAAGGGGGGGGGAATGTAATCTCTTACAATTTTGTTAAGTGGTCAGCTTCACAATCATACCAAATTAAGACTTGAGGTAACAGAACTCGAGCTATTCAATGTGATTTTTCTAGGGTAGCATGAGGTTAGAATAGTTGGAGACAGTATTAAGAATAAGTCATGTGGTGATATTGGTAGGTTTTTTTGTTTTTTGTTTTTTAATATGGTGTACTTAAAAAAATCGAGAGGGGGGAATTTTCATGGCAAAAAGTGTTACTGATTTGGGGAATTTTATATTCATATAGTTGGCTTTTTCACTTGAAGTTGTGTATTTGTGTATGAATTTTGTATGTATCATGTTTTATGACATTTTGTGGAGTGAATAAAGTAAAATTTTGAAATCATGTAATTATGTCAAGAGAGTTCGTGTCCTATTGTCGATGTTGTTGTTTCAGTTTGGCTAAACTGAGGGGTAGATTGGGCCCAGGTGTGAAGAGTTTTTGGACTTGATAGACTTGAGTATACACCACTATCAAAGAATACTTAAGGAGAGTGACTTAATCAGATCTAAAGATGATTCTAAACTTGAGTGAGGTTAGGACCAAAGAAGGACTTTTGGTAGGAGATTCTCACAGCAGTTTAATCTGCAAATAAAATCCTGAACTAGAGTACTGACAATTGGAATGGAGTGCAAGGGATGGTTGTGTGATGAATTTTGGAGGTAGAATCCATAGGACAGTCCACATTAGTGTAGAAATTAAAGAATGTAGAGAGGTTAGGGAGTCAAGTTGGCTCTAAGGTTTCTAATTTAGGAAACTGATAGATTATGTTGCCATTAACTGAGCTAGAGAAGGAATAAATTTTTGGCAGGTGGAGTCAGATAAAGATGATAAATAATTTAAGTTTTGGATATATTAAATTTTAGGTATCTTTGAGACTTGTAGGTGAAGATGCTCACTAGGCAGTTATAAATATGGTTGTGGGACACTGAAAAGAGGTTAGAACTGGAGAAAGATCTGGAATCTATCCAGTTTTCTCTATCTCTACCACCATTATCTTGAGTTCAAACTACTGTCATCTCTTACTGAGATTATTGCAAGTTTCCTATCTGGACTCTTCTAGTCTTAGTCTTCTCCATTCCATTCTCTGTGCTATAATCAGTGATTTTTCTAAAGGGCAGATCTGATTATATCATTTCTCATAAGTTATTTCTGTGACTTTATGATGAAATCTATATTCCTTATTCTTTTAATTGATTTCTAAATTTAAGTTCTTTTCCCAACTTACCTCTCTAGCCTTGTGACTCTCCCCAACTCCCTCCTCCCCCCAAATATATAATTTTCTCATATTTTAAAAAAATATTTTATTTATTAGAGCGAGAATGAGCACACACGAGCGGGGGAGGGGGTAGAGGGAGAGAGATTCTCAAGCAGACTCCATGCTGAGCATGAAGCGTGGTGTGGGGTTTGATCTCACAATCCTGAGATCATGATCATGACCTGAGCCGAAATCAAGGGTCAAATGCTTAACTGACTGAGCCACTCAGGCGCCCCTAATTTTTTCAGACATACTGAATTACTTCTGGTTTCTGGCAGAAGGCTCTTTTTCCCTTCCAAGCCTTTGCACATATATTCCCTATTCCTGTAGTATTCTTGTCACACATTTGTTTAGCTCATTTCTACTTACCTTCAGTTCTTGGTAAGCCTTCATTGATTCATTATTATTTTTATTGAAAAAATTTTAACCTACAGAAAAGTCAAAAGAATAGTGGAGTGAACACACATACATGAGCCCCCCCCCCACATTCCCTTTGCCAAATCTGAAAGCAGTCTGTAGATTTCATGACGCTTCACCCCTAAATACTTAATCATGCATCTCCCAATTACAGGGATTTCTCTTACACAATCACAATACTATTATTACACCTAAAAGTATCAATAATTACTCATTATTAAACATATAGTCCGTACTTAAATTTCCCCATTTGTCCCAACGTTTTTTATAGCTTTTTTCTTTCCACTAATGCAAGATTCAGTCAAGGTTCATGCATTGCATTTGGCTGGTATGCCTCTTTAGTCTCCCTCAATCTGGACTAGGGCCCAGTGCCTCCTTCTCTTCTTTGGTTTATCCTTTGAAAAGTTAGAGGCATTTGTGCTCGAGTATATTCCATATTTTGAATTAGCCTATTTCTTCATGATTAGATTCTGGTTAGATATTTCTGGCAAAAATATCACACAGGTGATATATATTCCTACCACTTTATCACATCAGGAGGCACTAATGGCAGGCTGTCCCCCTGTTGGTGATTCCAGCTTTGATCACTTGGTAAGGGTGGGAACTGATAGATCTCTACTATTTAATAAATAATTGAAAGGGTGATGATTTATGACCATGTAAATATCCTTTTCCTAACAACCTTTTAAATCACCGGTTTTACCATCCGTTAATGATCCTTGCTTGAATCAGTCATTGCATTTGAGGATTACAAATGGTGATTTTTCTTTTTCTTTTATGCCGTCTACATTTATTTTATTGGCTTTTGAGGGCAGTGAGGTCCGATTAGATAAAGACTGAATATAGGCAATTGAATTTGGAAATCAGGTCTTTCCTCACCTTTTCCAGAGCCAAGTGAGTGGTGAAGATGGAAGATATATTGCTAAGGAGATAGACCAAAGAGCAAGTAGAGGTTTGCCAGTGAAGGGGGGCAAGAAGTAGCCTGAGGAGATAGAGTTGAGGGAAAGAACTTTAATTTAGCACTTGAACCTTTTTTTTTCGTGGACTGATGAGATTGAAGATAGGAGAGTCAGGGAATAATTAATAGAACAGGGTCCCAGATGAAGTGGGAAGAGGTGAGATCAAGAACAGTTGGTTGAAGAATTAACTCTGGACAAGGGTAGACACCTGTATTGTACTGCAGAAGTTAAGAGTTGTGAGGATTAGGTACGTTTGGGTATGGAGGGAAGAAGTCCTATCTGAGGGCTTTTTTTTCCTTTGGTATGAAGTAAAAAGACAATTACTTCTTGAGGATGGGCTTGATGAAGATAAACTAGGGAACCTGAGGAGAATGATGAAGGTTTGTTATAAAAACTGTGGGGATTGGGAAAGAGCAGTGTTTCAGGATAAATCAGTGAAGAGACTGCTGAGTAGGGCCTTATCTGAGATTAGCATTTATACATTTATAATCTTTTTTTTAAATTAACATATAATGTATTACTTGTTTCAGGGGTACAGGTCTGTGATTCATCAGTCTTACACAGTTCACAGCACTCACCATAGCACATACCCTCCTCAATGTCCATCACCCAGCCACCGCATCCCTCCCACCCCCCTCCACTCCAGCAATCCTCAGTTTGTTTCCTGAGATTATGGTTTGTCTCCCTCTCTGGTTTTGTCTTGTTTCATTTTCCCCTCCCTTCCCCTGTGATCCTCTGTCTTATTTCTCAAGTTCCTCATATCAGTGAGATCATATGATACTTGTCTTTCTGTGTTTGACTTATTTCGCTTAGCATAATACCCTCTAGTGCATCCACGTCATTGCAAATGGCAAGATTTCTTCTTTTTTTTTGATGGCTGCATAATATTCCATTGTGTGGCTCAGGTCATGATCATGATCTCAGGATTGTGAGATCAAACCCCACACCACGCTTCATGCTCAGCGTGGAGTCTGCTTGAGAATCTCTCTCCCTCTACCCCCTCCCCCGCTCGTGTGTGCTCATTCTCGCTCTAATAAATAAAATATATATATATACCACATCTTCTTTATCCATTCATCTGTTGATGGACATCTAGGCTCTTTCCATAGTTTGGCTGTTGTGGACATTGCCGCTATAAACATTGGGGTACATGTGCCCCTTCGGATCACTACATTTATACATTTATAATCTGATGTTCTATATAAATTTTCTCTGGTGTCCTGCAGCAAGGAACGAAGCAAAGATAGATTGGAGTTGGATGAAGGAGGAGAGAATTGAACATGCAAGGGAGACTGTTGAATTAATTGACAGGAGATAAATACAACTGGCATTTTTGTTCTTAGGAATATATTACTATATAGTTTCTTCTAGCACATATTTATAGGCTAAGTTATACAGATTTTATTTTAAATTTGCTCTTTTTGTGTAGGCATTTTAGTATGTCTAATGGTTTACATATTTAAGACATACACAATACCAATTACTTTGAATGAATGATTATAGGATTTATTTGCTAATCTTTGGCTGAGACACCAAGATACTAACATTCTAATCTGAATTCACTTTGACAAAAATTTCACTGGTAATACAGTCATATCAATGTCCTGAAAAGGAGTAAAATAAAGCATCTAAGTTATATTTGGTTTCCATTGAAAAAAAATTTTTTTTTATCACAGTATGGTTTTATCATTCAATTCTAGGCCTGTGATCCTTAGTTAATTTCAGTGGCTGCCATATTATGGTGTGTTTTTTTTTGGTGTATTAAGTCTCTGATAAGTGCGGGGAAAAAAGACATTGCTTTTATTTTGAATAACATCTAGACTTAAAATATATATTGTTTTTTGTGGATATTTATGATTTTTATTCCAGATAAGGATGTTACACATGAAATATTTATTTTTATAGCCATATAAAAATATTTAAATTTAATATTACAGATAGTTATACTTTTTATTTTTCTAGCCAAGATTCTCTCTTATTGTTCCTTTTTGTCACTAGATGGAAAGTAAATGAGCAATGTCAGGAAGCACATGTATTCAGTGTCCTACAAGACACCAGGCCTTATAATGTCAAATGGGAATGTAAGGAAAAAGCAGACAACTTTGCTCTTTGTTCTGGGTTTGACTTTGTTATTTTCTGGGTTCACTTTAGCTTCTTCCATGCTCCTTTAATACCCAAAATGAGTAGACAAGTACTTATTTATGTGGCAGCCTTAATTTGTTGGAATTTCTTGAAAGCCCAGATCTTTATGTTTAAATTTTATCTTTATTATTGAGATCTTTGTAATAAATAATTTTTAAAAAATTGTAAGTACTTTAAAAAATTATGATTAAACTAGATTTTGTCAGATAATCTTATACTTAAATAGTGTAGAAGTATATTGTTATTTGTGTCCAGGTTGTATCAAAGAAGCCTATCTATAACATTTACCAGAAATTGGTTCTTAAAATTCCAAAAGTGTTGTGGCAAATACTTTTCAGAATGTGAGATATTTGAGATATTTTAAATTACTATGATTGATACTACAGTACAATTTTTTTCTTGCATGTATTAGTAAATGAAGTTTGCCATTTTTTTGTTGCTTTAAAAAAAATAGCATTGAGTATTGATTTTTCTTTTTTTACTAAACTCAAACCCAAAATTGTATCACAAAATGCCACCTCTGTCCAGCTCTAGTGTAAAATATGTATGTTCACTAATAAGTTCATTCTAGTGTAAAATATATACGTTCACTAATAAGTTCATTAATTACTTTGGGGTGTCTGGGTGGCTCAGTCGGTTAAGTGTCTGACTTCAGCTCAGGTCATGATCTGTGGGTCTGGGATCCAGCCCCATGTTGCCCCCCCCCCCCATCACATGGGCACTGTGCAGGGGCCCCACTCATCAGGGAGTCTGCTTCTCCCTCTCCCTCTGCCCCTTCCCGTGCTCCTGTGTGTGCTCTGTTTCTCATATAAATAAATAAAATCTTAAAAAAATAAGTTCATTAATTACTTAGAATTCAGAACACATTTCCTGTTGAAAGTGTTAAAATGATGGCCCATAGTAGCTTATTTATTCTAAGTTGCAGTTCAGGAATTAACCCTTTGCTAAGAAAAATATAGTAAATTATACTGATGAAAACGTATGTTTTTCCTTAAGGAGCAGTTTTCTAGCAGTCCAGGTCTGATAAAATTCTTTGAACCTACAAGTGCCCTAAAAAATCAAGTCTTACTTGTCAAGGTTGTGAGTTCGAGCCTCACGTTGGGTGTAGAGATTACTTAAATAAATTTAAAAAACTTTAAAAAAGTCAAATCTTAAAAAAATCTTACACAGATTATTATTGCTAACATTTTAATATAAGATGGACATAAATTATTTGTTAGTGTAAATAATTGTTATTGGGTCAGTAATTGATCTGATAAGAGAAAAAGAAGACAGAAGAGAAGAAAGCACTGGGTGCCTGAAATGGATGAGAGGCAGTATAGTGAAATAATTTAGATTTTGGTGTTTTGGAGAGCAGTATGGTGTAGAGACAGAGGCATGGAATTTAAAATCAGAAGATCTGAGTGCAGATCCCATCTTCACAATTAGCTCAATGGTCTGAAACCAAATTACTCTTGGACCTGTTTCTTCATCCGCATAATGGGGATCATTGATTCATTCATTCACTGATTCATTCAGACATGTTTTTCTAGATTGTTAGACCAACAAAATAATCTGAATGAAAGCAAGCAATTATGAACCATATAGTGTTTAGGCAGCTATTAGTGATCCTTCCTTCCTTCCTTCCCTCCCTCCCTCCCTCCCTCCCTCCTTCCTTCCTCTTTCTTTTCTTTCTTTCTCTTTTCTTTCTTTCTTTCTTTCTTTCTTTCTTTCTTTCTTTCTTTCTTTTCTTTCTCTCTTTCTTTTCTTTTCTTTTCTTTTCTTTCTTCTTCTCTGTACTTCTCCCTTGCCATCCATCCTTCCTTCTTTCACTGATAACATGTTTTCACTCTTATCTTAATGCTTTAGACCTTGGGTGGGATTAGACCCAAGTCCCAGCTGATTCCACTCCCTCCCCCGCTCTGCTCCCTATAAGGGAATTAGGCAGAGAAGTAGGATGGAGTGCAACTTTTCTATATCAGCTTGCTCATTTTCTCACTGTTGCCTGACAAAGTCCTGTCTTTCTCAAGGTGGGGCATTAGTGTAAGGTGCCTCATAGTCCCTGGGTGTGATGATTCTCTCTCTCTGCCTTCACTGCCATATCCCCGATCCCCATGTATATCTAACTCCTCTTTCTCCCTCCATCTTCTTTCTCCAATACCTTTTCTTTTTCCTTTTTAATCTCACTCTTCCGTTGGTTTCTTGCTGTTTGCCTACAGATATGCTCAGGTCTCCCATGGCCTAAAAAATTCTTGCTCAATTCTTAGTCACTTTTCTTTCACCACCATAGAGATGTTGGTCTTTTTGCCTTTATTACTTCATTGCTTACTTAACATTTTGGGGTATGGCTTCTGCCCCAACCACTGTCCTAATACTGTTCTAATTCAGTATCCTTACTGAAGTCAGTAACCTTGACCTCTTTCTCTGCGTCATGTTGACACTACTGTTCACACACCCTTCCTGGACACTTCTCCCTTGCATCTATAAGGATGGTATTTCTGATTTCTTTCTCCTTTCCTTGTAAATGTATTTGCCTTACCCCTTTCTCTGAGCTCTCATTAGCCCTCTTTTTTTTCCTGCACTTTTTCTTTGTAATATTATCTTCCTATGACTAGAAGTATTTTCTTTTATTCCTATAATGTAATTGAACTGGGAATAGCAGTGGAAAATTCAGGGAGGCAGGATTCTGTACATACAGGAAGGAATTTTTTTCCTAAAGCAATTATGGTATTTTACAGTAATAATCTGCTTTTGAAGTAGTCAGTTCTCCACTGTTAAAAGTTTTCAAATGGAGGCAAAAAAGACCCTTTGTAGAAAAGATTCATAAAGTAGGTAGAAAGTTGAGCCAGATTATCTTTTAAAGTCCCCCTCCAACTCAGAGATTGTAATTTTTATTTCATCCACTCTACTCCCATGGATTCAATTTTGACCTTTATCCAGATGTTTTCTAAATCATTTCTAGCCTCTTTGCCTTCCTTCCCTCCTCCTTCCTCTCTTGCATAATATTTGTCATTAAACTTGCTTCTGTTCTAGACCACGTGTTTTCTAGTTTCAACATCATTTTCTAATATTTTTTCTCTCCTTTTACTAGTATGGCTTTGAGGACCACTGTTCTATTCTTTGGCGACTTTTCTGATAGTTAATTATATCTGCCCATGTAAGTTTGTTGCCTCCTCTCCCCACAAACTAGGGGCACTCAAGCAAAGGACACCAATAGAGGAGGCTCAGGAACCTAAAGTTTAAAATTGATTTTAAAACTTTGTATGGCATAGTCCAAATGTTAATACTTAAGATATTTATAATAATAAATAGTAGTAGTTGCAGTTTTTTATTGAATGTCTCCTATGTGCCAATTATTGTGCCATGAGTTTACATAGGTTATGTAAGTTATATTTCATTTAAGTTTTACAACATTCCTGTGAGAAAGATACTGTTGTTCTCCCATTTACAAATGAGGAGATAGGAAGGTAAGAAAGTTGTCAAGGTCACACAACTAATAAATAATAGATACCTAACTCACTTTATGGCCAGTTTTCTTAAGTATATTATATACACTGTATTACAAGAATGTAGAGAATCTAGAATATAATTTTAGAAAGTCAGGTAATGTACAAACAAGATAATGTATTTTTGACTTTGTATGTTTTTGTTTTGAATGTACATGAACTTACATAAGACACTGTTAGTGGCTTATTTGTGCTTATTACCTCTTTATCCATGATATTCATTCCCTTGTCATTCATTCATTGAACTTTCAGGCCTTTTACCGATTGCTTAGACTCTGTTAAGTGTAGTATAGGAAGGTGAATGAAACAAGTATAAGTTTTCAGTATAGTGGGGGAGACAGAAAATTAACAGGTACATAATCAATTATAATTTGAGCAAGTACTATAAAGATCACAAACTGTAATGCCAGTGATAGAGAATCAGGGTGTGTGTGTTGGATGGGGGGAAGGGAAGGGAGAGGATATGCTTAGATACGGTGGTCAGGAAAGGCTTGTAATGCCACTAAGCAGATAATTAATGTTTTGTTGTATACCTTTTAATACATTATGTGTATATATGGGGAGCTATATAAAGTTTTTATATCAAATTGGATTTTACTATATATTCTGTTTTGTAATCTCATAATTGAGTCTCTTGAAAGTATAGCCATTGTCTTTTAATTTCCCTACCTATTCCACTCCAACTTTTTTTTTTTCCTTTCAAGATTTTATTTAAATTCACGTAAGTTCACATATAGTGTAGTATTAGTTTCAGAGATACAACTTAGTGATTCATCAGTTGCATGTAACACCCAGTGCTCATTACATCAAGTGCCCTCCTTAATGTCCATCACCCAATTACCCCATTCCCCCATTCACCTCCCCTCCAGCAACCCTCAGTTTGTCCCTATATTTAAGAGTGTCTTATGGTTTGCCTCCCTCTCTGTCTTTATCTTATTTTAGTTATCCTTCCCTTCCCCTTTGTTCATCTGTTTGTTTCTTAAATTCCACATATGAGTGAAATCATACGGTATTTGTCTTTCTCTGACTGACTTATTTTGCCTAACATAATACTTTCTAGTTCTGGCCATGTCGTTGCAAATGGCAAGATTTTATTCTTTTTGATGGCTGAGTAGTATTCCATTGTATATATATATACACCACATCTTCTTTATCCATTCATTAGTTGTTGGACACTTGGGCTCTTCCCATGTTTGCTGCTATAAACGTTGGGGTGCATGTGCCCCTTCTAATCACTATTTTTGTATCCTTTGGATAAATACCTAGTACTGCAATTGCTGGGTCATAGGGTAGTTCTATTTTTAACTTTTTGTAGGAACCTCTTCCAGGGTGGCTGTACCAGTTTGCATTCCCACTAACAGAGTAGGAGGGTTCCCCTTTCTCCACATCCTTGCCAACATCTGTCATTTCCTGAGTTGTTAATTTTAGCCATTCTGACCAGTGTGAGGTGGTATCTCATTGTGGTTTTGATTTGTATTTCCCTGATGACAAGTGATGTTGAGCACTTTTTCATGTGTTTGTTAGCCATTTGTATGTCTTTTTTGAAGAAATGTCTGTTTATGTCTTCTGCCCATTTCTTAACTGGATTCTTTATTTTTGGGATGTTGAATTTGATAAGTTCTTTATAGATTTTGGATACTAGCCCTTTATCTGATAAGACATTTGTAGATATCTTCTCCCATTCAGTAGGTAGACTTTTACTTTTGTTGACTGTTTCCATTGCTGTGCAGAAGCTTTTTGTTTTGATGAAGTCCCAATAGTTCATTTTTGCTTTTGTTTCCCTTGCCCTTTAGAGGCATTTCTAGCAAGAAGTTGCAGCGGCCAAGGTTGAAGAGGTTGCTGCCTGTGTTCTCCTCTAGGGTTTTGATGGATTCCTATCTCACATTTAGGTCTTTCATTTTGTATTTATTTTTGTGAAGGTGTAAGAAATTGGTACAGTTTCTTCTGCATGTTGCTGTCCACTTTTTCCAACACCATTTATTGAAAAGACTGCCATTTTTCTATTTGATATTCTTTCCTGCTTTGTCAAAGATTAGTTGATCATATAGTTGTGGGTTCCACTTCAACATTTGCAGTCTGGCATCCACCCCCACTGTTGGACTTCACATTGTTTCTGATGTGACTGGCCTAGTTGCAAACCTAAATGATGTTTTTTTTTTTTTCCTTTTATTTGTGAATTCTGAATTGGTATTTCTCTCACCTTCTTGTTATGTTCCTTCTTTATCACAAGCTTTTCTTTATATCTTTTTCTTTTTCTTGTTCTTTTTAAAGATTGTATTTATTTTTAGAGAGAGAAAGAGCATGAGTAGGGGGAGGGGCAGAGGCAAAGGGAGAAAGAATGCTAAGCAGACTCCGTGCACGAGCATGGAGCCCAACATGGGTCTTGATCCCACAACCCTGAGACCATGACCCCAGCGAAAATCAACAGTCAGACGCCTAACTGACTGAGCTACCCAGGTGCTCTGCCCCTCCTTTTTAAGGATTTATTTATTTATTTATTTATTTAGAGAGAGAGAAAACAGGCCCGCTCATGCGCACGGTGGTGGTGGGGAGGGGCAAAGGGAGAAGGAGAGAAGCAGAGCCTATGACCTAAAAAGAAATGAGATCATGACCTAAGCCAAAATCAAGGGTCAGATGCTTAACTGACTGAGCCACCTAGGGAACCCTATATCTTTCTTTTATTTCTTCAGAAATGTTCAAGTCCTCTTAGTTTCTGTACTTGGCCCTCTGTACTGATAATCTCCTAGAGTAACAGATTAAAGTCTGTAATGACTCACCAGTCTTGTGGATCAAGTCCAAAGTCCTTTGTTAGGTTTCACCCGGTTTAAGGATTATTCTTTTCTTTTAGCTAAGGATAAAAAGAAATGAACCTTTATTAATACTTATTTTAAGAATTGATACTGGCACCTTAGATCAGTCCATATGTTCATTCATCAGATGATCATCTTTATTTTCACTTGGTGGTTCTCACCTGGGGTGATTTTATCCTCTCCCCTCTTTTCTCCCATTCCAGCATGTTTGGCTTTGTCTGGACTCATTTTTGGTTGTCATAACTATGCGTGGGGGGGAGGAGAAGAGGATGCTATTGGCATCAAGTGGATAGAGGCCAGGGATACATCTAAAGATCCTACAATGTATGGGGGGAGAACAACCAATAACAATTATTCAGCTCAAACTGGCAGTGGTGCCATGGTGGAGAAACCCTGCTTTAACTGGATTTTAGCATTTCCTTTAATTATGAATGTAGGTAATCCTTCACAGGGGTGTTAGCACTACCTGTGACTTTGTTACCAGTAGAAATTTCAAATATTTTCATGTCACGTTAATTTGTTGCAGGTACCTTGAAATACTTATGTTCATTTATTGCTTAGAAATTAAGATTTGCATTAATTGAGAAGCAAAAAATTACTGTATTGCATTTTAAAAAGTTTAAGTACAGTTGTCCATTGTAATCTCTAATGTATTTTATGCATTATAAACATTATTCTGGGAAGGGGTCCGTAGACTTCACCAGATTGCCAAGGAATCCACAGGACAAAAAAGCTTAACCCTGGTCTAGAGGCTTAATTAGAGTGGTTTAAGCATTTTTGGTGAGAATGCTTCATAGGTGATGGAATTTATTTTATATCATCATTTCATGAATCACATAATATTAAGTTGTCATACTATTGTCAGTGATGCCAAGTTTTGATGACTTAGTTAAGGTACTGACAGCCAGATTTTTAAGATATATTTTCCCCTTTGCATTGCTAAGTAATCTGTGGGGGTCACTTTGGCACCAGGTGAGTTTTCTCTTTCTGAACAACCTTTCACCTAATAACTTTAGCATACATCAATGATTTTTGCCTGAATTGGTTTTTACATTGGGGTTACAAAATGGTGATTTTCTAATTGAATCATTCCTTCTACATTTATTACTGGCTTTCTTTTGTAAAGAAGACATTTCCTTTCTTTATCCCACTCCACCCCCTTTTCCTCATCTCTTTCTCTTCCCCTACGTGTCACTCTATATTTGCTAATTTTTATTATCTAGTAGATTACGCTCAAGTAGGTTGCTTTTTTTTTTTTGAGTGCTCAAATTGTCCCCCATGTGGCCAGTGAGAACCCCTTTAACTTGATCCTTTGTCCTTTTTTACAAATCCTTCTTAGAAGCTTTTAACCTAACTTTTAACATAAAAAGATATTTTTAGCTGGGAGAAAGACAGTCACATGCTTCTGATTTTACTCATCCTTGGAAATTCTTTTGTAATGAATGTGTTTCTTTCCTTATCATCCCATACCCCTGCATGCTCTTATCTATTCACTTAAGGATTATCGGTAGCTGTCTTAACTAACATCTCTCTTCTGATCTGTTCTACACACCACCCATTTCATTCATCTTTAAAGTATTTATTATATACTGTCTGTGTGCCAGGAATTGCATTAGGAACATAGAATACACAGGAAAATGGAAACATAAGGAAGTTCATAGTCTAATAGAGAAGACCTACATAAAGACCAAAATTTCAGTATGATTATTGCAAAATAGAAATACATAGAGGCGCCTGGGTGGCTCCGTCGGTTAAGCGTTTGCCTTCAGCTCATGGGCTCAAGTCATGATCGCAGGGTCTGGGATTGAGCCCCATGTCATCGGGCTTCCTGCTCAGTAGGGAGTCTGCTTCTCCTCTCCCTCTGCCCCCCCCCCCCACCGGCTTGTGCTAGCATGAGTGCTATCTCTCTCTCTCACTCTCTCATAAATAAATAAAATCTTTAAAAAAAAATACATAAAGGGTAACTAAGTGTGAGAAACCAGAGAAGGCTTCAAGAGAAGATAATAGTTGAGTATGGTATTGTTACAATCATGAAAAGATTATTATGTGAAGAATGGTAGAGCGACTTATAGATTCTTATCGTAGGTGACTACTGATTACATTCCAAATTTGTTTCTAGATGTAGTTACAAGTGGAAGTATTAAAAATCAGAGGTTACCTGCATTTAGTGCTTAGAGCTTTCCTTTTCCCTTGTTCTGTGTTTTTTGTTTTTATTTTTGCTAATTTTTTTTTTTCTGGGTAGACGAACTATTCTTAGGTTATACTGAAACTTTCTTGCTAGGATGCTTCATCATTTCTGTTCTTTAGCTTTTCAATGAAAGATTATTTTTTTGATGAAATTGTTTGGTTTGGAGGCCATGGGGATTTGCCATATTTGTTTATGCATCCATGCCTTATAAATAAATCCATAATGTTTTATTACCAATGATTGCACATACCAAGTATCTGCACCGTACTTATGTGGTCATAAATACAAAGTTTGGTTCTTACTGTCGGGAAATCTTAGTAAACTTAGGATGGTTGAAGGAAATGGAGAGTCAAATGGTTTAAAATTGGGACTCACCTATATAGGCAGTCCCCTAATTTTACATAATCTCTTTATAGTTAGAGATTTTCCCTCTTTTCATAAGAATTAGGAGAGGTATAGGAAAAAAAAAATCAGCATATATTCCCAATTCACATTCTTTAAGGAATAAATAAGGTGACCTCCCCCCCGCCCCCCAGAAAGTGAAATAATTTATAGGAGTCCAGAAATGTTTTTATTTAAGTCCCCATCTCCTCAAGTATTTCTGGCTTCCTGAGATGGCACTTGGGATTTCTTCTTGCTGACATGATGGTAAAAATAAATTGAAATAGTAGTGTACTAATGTTGGAATCAATATTTAATTTATCTGACATCAAGCAGTGGGCGTTCAACATAAATAGATTTTCCAAATATTTGTAGCTTCCCTCTTTAAAATGTCAAAATGTTTTTAGTTTAGCCATTTTATTTGATAAAATTAATACAAAAGTTAAATAGATTTAATGTTAAATTTAGAATTGTCCTTACTTAACATTTACTATACAGGATTATGTATTATATAGTATTTCCTATCCTTTAGGTATTTTTTCTCTTTCAAATATATGATGCTTTTATACAGAAACAACCATACACTTAATGTGAATGGATGTAAATGCAACAGGCATTGCAAACCAAGGCCCTGACTAATTCATTTGGCCATACTCTGTGTGTGTATGTAAATAAAAGATGATTTGTTAGTACTTCCCAATGCAAACATTTTACTTGAGCCATGTCAGTTTCCACAACGTCTTATGATTATTCCATGTCCCTTAACCTTTTTGTATGGTATTGTTTGCTTTCTGTTCAGGGGCCGTGAGGAAGTTATTTATCTTTGTGCATTTTCTTAACAGCTTGTTTCTTATGGTCTCAGTGAGTGGTGTAATTGGATGTGTTTCCTTTGCATTAGGAGGACTGTGACAGATATTCAAAGAAGTCTGGGAAATGTAAGTTTTAGCTTTCTGCTAAACTAAAGGGGAGTTAGAGTAGATGAACTTTTTGTCACCGTTCTTAGCCTTACGTCTCTGCTCTTTATTTCTTACTCTTATTGCATTCACCAGAATTCCTTACGAGGCTTTTTTTTTCTTCTTCTTTTTTTAATTGGTTAAAACACATGTGTCTTTGTAAGCCACCTAGTCTTTCAGGGCCTTGCATTTAGACTAGGTGATCTCTAAGTTCCCTTTCAGCCATAAACTTCTGTTTATGTTTATTTATATTTATTCCTTTGTTGAAAAATGTTTATTGAATACCTGCTATTTGATAGATATGCTCTGCAGCATAATATTACCTACCCTCCAATAATAGGATAATACATGTTCTTCAGTATCCAGGTTATGTACTGCTTCATTTGTAAAGTTTTACCTGACACTGTAGCCTATATTATGTTGTTTTGCCCCACAAATTCTTTCAGGACTTACTAAAAAATGTAGACATAGGTTAACTTGTGTTTTCCTTAGTGTTTGGATTGTTTTGATTACTTAATGTAATTGTAGGCACCTTGAAGAATCCTGCTTTTTTAATAATCATTTAATATAGTGACAGTCCACATAGTAATAATAATCATAATGATAACTAACATTTATGAACACTAACTTTGAGATGAGCATTGTTTTAAATGCTTTACATATATCCCTTCCATTTAATCTTACAAAATGTTTATGAAATGGGATCTCTTCTCCATTTTTACAGATGAGGTAAGGCACACAAAGGTGAAGTAAATTTCCTTAAGATTATACTGCGGGTAAGTGAAGAACCCAGGCAGTCAGACTTCAAAAGCCCATTCACTTATCCATTTTGCTATAATGCATAATTACTGTATACTTGTTGAATGAATAGATGTTTTCATCTTTAATATATATCGGTTACAGCTTTGGTATCTATTTCCACTTTGGATAAAAGACTAAGGATAGGGGCGCCTGGGTGGCTCAGTTGGTTAAGCGACTGCCTTCGGCTCAGGTCATGATCCTGGAGTCCCGGGATTGAGTCCCGCATCGGACTCCCTGCTCAGCAGGGAGTCTGCTTCTCCCTCTGACCCTCCTCCCTCTCATGCTCTCTGTCTTTCATTCTCTCTCTCTCAAATAAATAAATAAAATCTTAAAAAAAAAAAAAAAGACTAAGGATATTTCACTTCGGGGAGAATACTTTTCAAACAAGGACAAATAACTTTCTTAGTAAACTAAATATTATGAGTGACTCTTACAGTTAATAGTGAGTATTCAAATTGTGTACTTATACCTTGAGGGATTTTGGATAAGGTGTCTTTTTCAAAGGAAGTTTGAGGCATACATAATACTTATAGATGAATTTTGATTTGTGTTAAATGCTTGATTATTACTTGTTACTTGTTTTCAGTTGAGTGGTGATTTTATGCAATGGCTTCAAGCCACAGTTCTTCACCAGTGCCTCAAGGAAGCAGCAGTGATGTTTTCTTTAAAAAAGAGGTAGACCCAACAAAACACATTCGACCTGTGCAGTCACTGCCAGATGTATGTCCCAAGGAACCCACAGGTAATACCTTTGTTGTTGTTGTTGTTGTTGAGGATTTTTACTGAGGATTTGTATTATCTTTAAATGAGTAGTCAGATTCCATATACATTTGACCCTTGAACAACATGGGTTTGAACTGCATGGGCCCACTTATATGCAGCTATTTTTTTTTTTTAATAAATACAGTACTATAAATGTATTTTCTCTTTCTTATGGTTTTCTTAGTAACATTTTCTTTCCTCTAGCTTACTTTCATGTAAGAATGCAGTATATAATATATATAACATACAGAATATGTGTTAATTGACTAAGTTTTTGGAAGGGCTTCTAGTCAATAGTAGGCTATCAGTAACGTTTGGGGAGAGTTTAAATATGTGGATTTTTGACTTCACAGGGAGGGGAGGGTCTGTGTCTCTAACCCTTCCGTTTTTCAAGGGTCAGCTGTATCTGAAAGAGTAAATTTTACAGTGTTAAACTAAAGAGGTAATTTGGAAGTAAGTTGATTAGGAAATTGGAATATAGTTCTTTTCATGCATTTCCATAGAAGAAGTTACTTGCTAAACTGAAAAAAAAAGTTTTGAAAATGAAACTACTGATTTAAAGCTTTTTAGTTAGACACAGTATAGTAAAGCCTCATTATTTATGAATTCCATGTCTGCAAATTTGCCTACTCCCTAAAACTTATTTGTAACTCCAAAATCAATACTTCTGGTACTTTTGTGGTCATTTGCAGCCATATGCAGAGGAATGAAAAATTTGAATTGCCTAATGCACATGTCCCTAGCTAAGGTTGAACAAGACAACGCTCTGCCTTCTTGTTTTAGCTCTCATGCTCTAAACAAGTGTCCTTTCTGTGGTCTATTTAGTGCCACATTTTTTGCATTTTTGAGATTTTTATTGGTGATATTGCTGTTTAAAATGTCTCCGAAATGTAGTGCTGGAGAGCTTTCTAGTGTTTCTAAGTACAAAAAGACTGCAATGTATGTGTCTTATGAAGAAAATTCATTCAGGTATGAGTTATGAGTTACAGTGGTATAAGCTATGAGTTCAGTGTTAATGAATGAACAGTATATATTTAATAAGGTGTCTTTAAACAGAAACATACACAAAATAAGATTATGTATTGGTCGGTTGATGAAAATGTTGTGACCAGGGGCTTGAAGGTACCTAACCCTGTATTTCCCCTAGGAACAGTGGTTCAGTATTTGCTAATTGTTGCAGTGACTTTATAGAACAAAACTACCATGAATAACAAGAATGACTATATATTTTTCTTTCCTCTATGGTTGATGCCACAGCAGCATTTCTGTCATCTGTTTATAAGCCAAACAAAGGGTATTAGAACCTGGCATGTCTGCCTTAATACAAGAGAAAAAAGGTATTTGTGAAAAATCTGGAGTATTAAAGGATAGAAGATATACAATAGAAAGGAAGAAGAATTTTGATGTTGAAAAAGGAAAGAGAAATTGTACATTAAGGAAAGGAATTAGTGAAAGACTTTCTTTACCATCCACCCCACACTGCAACTATAACTCTCAAATTTTGCATATTCTTTATTTTATTTATGTTTTTCCTTCCCTTGGCAATTGATGCTGAAAGCTGAAGGTTATTAATCAGATTGATTTTCGTTAAAATGTTTGTACAGAAGAGTTGTTTCTACTCTGTATAGAGTAAAACTAAGCATTTTTATTTTTCTAGGATGTACTTTCAAATGTAGAACTTAGTCTACAGAGTTCTCTTGTTTACTTTTTGCAGATGATTCAAATAGTTTATGTGTTGCCCCATCTCTAGTTACAGATCAACATAGATGGACTATATATCATTCCAAAGTAAACCTTCCAGCAGCATTAAATGATCCTAGATTAGCAAAAAGAGAATCTGACTTCTTCACAAAAACATGGGGATTGGACTTTGTGGACACTGAAGTCATACCTTCATTCTACCTCCCACAGATCAGCAAGGAACATTTTACAGTTTATCAACAGGAAATCTCTCAGGTAATACCTAATCAAAAGGAATAGAAAGATCTTTAGTTTGATTTATTGTAGATTTTTGACCAATAGTCTTTGATGAGGCTATAGTATTCTTTTCTGTCTGTATACATGCTACTGTCCTGGGTTGTATTTAATTCATTTCTTAGATATATGTAAGTATATTTCTCTTACTGTAGTGATTTTTTGGAATTGCACTTTACTAGTAGTGCTAAGATTCCTCATGAAATCCACCCTACCTACCAAGGAGAAAATTGTTTTTTTTAGGCCAATAAAACCCAGATGGTTTGTGAGGTTTAAGAAATGAGCAGAGTAGAACTGTTTCTGTGTCTCATTTACCACAGAAAATTTATAGAGTATGCTAGCTTTAGTAGATAGTCTTAATATCTTTAGACGTAATATTTTGCTCTAAACTCAGTTCTGAGCAAGAACTGAATGTATTGCTTAGTTTAAGAAGGCTTGTTATTGATTTTTAGTGAGTATTATCAATATAATTTTGGTTACCATTTTGGTCCTTAAAAAACTCATTTTTAAAGGGGATATTAAAATTTTTTTCTTTACTGAGGTATAATTGACATATAATTTCAGGTGTACAACATAATTATTTGAGATATATATATATATATTGCAAAATGATCACCATAATAAGGCTAGTTAACATCCATCATCATACATACTTAACAAGAATTTTTTTCTTCCTGTGATGAGGATTTTTTAAATCTATTCTCGCAACTTTCAAATATTCAATACAGTATTATTAACTATAGTGACCATGCTTTATATTACATCTGGAAGTTTGGATAGGGGATAATTATTTATGTTTTTATAATATCCCTTTTTATACTTTTTTCATTAGCAAACCTAATTTGCATTTAGCTAACTTTGTTTCACTTGATTACTTTGTTCTTTTATGATTTGGAAATAGGCTAAATATGGTTATATTATTGGCATTGGTACTATGCAGTATTTGGTTCATTTTTAGTATGACCTAATATTTTTGTACAGAACCTGTAATTATTATTTACTTTTATATAATGTATATTGTTATATGCTGTCTAGAGTTTTTGTGTTCTGTTTTCAGTAATCACATCTGTCTGAATGTTTAGGTAAATGAGCTTTAGTATGCTTTCTTTTTGTAATCTTATGCCTCATAACCTACAATTTGGCTTTTCCATTTATCCATTTATTGATCAAATATTTATTGAATGCCTTCCATGTGCCAGGCACTGTTCAAAACACTAGGGATACAAGAGAGACCAAAATATACCAATTCCCTCCATTATAAAGCTTATATTTCTAACAAGGGTTATAAGCAATAAACCCTAAAGCAACCACTAAAATAACAGTTACAGCTAAAAAGCCAACAGAAGAGATAACATGAAATAAAAAAAAATTCTCAATCTAAACAAAGATAGAAAAGGGATAAAAAAGGAGCAAAGAATAGATGAGACCAAAAAATAAACATCAGGATGATAGACTTAAACCTAATCGTATTAGTACATTAAATGTAAATGTTTAAGCACCCCAATTACAAGTTAGAGATTGTGAGATTGGATGAAGAAGCAAGGCCCAGCTGTATGCTATCTATAAGACATGCACTTTAAATACAGAGACACAAAACACTTAAAAGGATGGAAAAAGATACACCAGGCTGACACCAGTCAAAAGAAAGCTGGAATGACTATATTAGTATCAAAGTAGATTTCAGAGCAAAAACTGTTACTAAAGAAGTTTATTTTTATAATGATAAAAGTGTTAAGTTAATCAAGAAGATTAGTATTTCTAAACATTTATGTCTGTAAAAACAGAGCTTCAAAATGCATGAAGCAAAAACTGGGAACTTTATGGAGGAAATAAATGAATTCACAATTATGGTTGGAGATTTCAATACTTGTCTCTCAATAAACAATAGAACAAGCAAATAGAAAACCAGTGAATATATGGTAGACTTAAACAGCACTGTCAGTTAACCCAACTTAACTTGAAAGAACACATTGAAAGAACATTCCACCCAACACAGAAGAATACATTTTTTCGTGAAGTGCTCATGGAACATTTATCAAGCTAGACTACAACCTGGGCCATAAAACAAACGTTCAATACATTTAAAAGGCTTCAAGTCATACAAAGTATATTTTCTGACCACAATAGAATTAAATTAGAAATTATTAACAGCAGGGCACCTGGGTGGCTCAGTCATTAAGCGTCTGCCTTTGGCTCGGGTCATGATCCCAGGGTCCTGGGGTTGAGTCCCACATCGGGCTCCCTGCTCGGTGGGAAGCCTGCTTCTCCCTCTCCCACTCCCCCTGCTTGTGTTCCTGCTCTCGCTCTCTCTCTCTCTGTCAAATAAATAAATAAAATCTAAAAAAAAATTAAAATAAAATAATTGACAGCAAAGTGTGTGGGAAATCCACAAATATTTGGAAACCAAAATTTATACTTCTAAATAAAATGTGGGTCAAGGAGGAAAAGGAGAGGCACCTGGATGGCTCAGTCAGTTAAGTGTCTGACTCTTAATCTCAGCTCAGGTCTTGATCATGAGTTCAAGCCCCACTTTGAGCTCCAAAAAAAAAAAGAGGAAAAGGAAATTAGAACCATTGACCCTTGAACAATGTGGGTTTGAACCACACAGATCTACTTATATACAGATTTTTTTCAATAAATACAGTTATAGTACTGCAAATGTATTTTCTCTTCCTTATGATTTCCTTAATATTATTTTCTTTTCTCTAGCTTACTTTAAGAATATAGTATGTAATATGTATAATATACAAAATATGTGTTAATTAATTGTTTATTTTACTGTTCAGGCTTCCAGTCCACAGTAGGCCATTAGTAGTTAAGTGTTTGGGGAGTCAAAAGTTATTGGATTTTTGATTATGGGGTATTGGTGTCTCCCTAACCCCCACGTTTGAACTAAATGGAAATGCAAACACGACATATTGGGATTTATGGCATGCTGCTCAAGCAGTACTTAGGGAATAATTTATAGCAGTAAATGCATATATTAGAAAAGAAGAATAGTTTCAAATCAGTGACCTCAACTTTCACCTTAAAAAGCTACAAAAAGAACAAATTTAAAACAAAATAAACAGAAGAAAGAAACATCAAAGTCAAAATCAGTGAAATAGAAAATAGAGAAACAGTAGAGAAAAATCAGTGAAACCTAAAAGTGATTCTTTTTGAAGATCAATAAAATGGACAAATTGTTAGCAATACTGATTCAGGAAGAAAAAAGACATAATCACCAATAATAAGAATGAGAGTGATGCCATCACTACAGATTCTACAGAAATTAAAAGACTAATAATGAAATATTATGAACAACTTTATGCTAATAAATTCAGCAACTTAGATGAACTGACGAATTCCTTGAATGACACAAATTACCAAATCTCTCTCAGGAAGAAATAGATAATTTGAATAGCCTTTTAGTTATTAAAGAAATTGATGTTAAACAGCTTTCCAAGAAGAAAACTCAGGTCCACATGGCATCACTATTGATTTCTACCAAATATTTAAGGAAAAAACAATAGCATGTTTACACATATTCTTTCAATTGTTAAGGATGTGAAGGATGGGGCCAGTACTAGGATGAGGCCAATGAGGTGCCCAAGGTGTAAAATGTGAAGGGCACCAGGATCTAAGAATAGGTGCCGTCTTAAATATTGTGGCTGCTTGCTTGCCTTACGCCATTGTCAGCCCTGGTGGCGAACTAGAACTCTCATACACTGTTGGGAAGTTAAAGTGGTACAGCCTTTTTGGAAAACAGTTTAGTGGTTTCTTAAAAAGTTAAAAATACTTAAAATACTTCTGGTTCAGCATGTAGGGAACCTGGAAGCTTCTACTCTTCGAAAGAAAAAATCTGAACAAACAAAATCAACAACTTAGAAGCTTTTTGAAGGTCACAGCACAGGGGCACAAACTCACTAAAAGACAACAACCTAATCACAGGTCTGTGGAATGATTCCCCTCCTCCCACATTTTACCACCATATAAATAGGGCACCTGTATAATAATAAGGGAATACAACTGTGAAAAAACTGCATGTCTCAGACTTTATTTAAGAAGTTTGTAAAGACAGCAAAAGAGACAAAAACAAGGACTCCAGAGGAAATTTTAGCCTTTAACACCTACAGCTACAACAAACAATAAATACAGTCTAATGCCTAGCCAGATAAATATAAAACCTCACACTAAATACCTGTTTACCTCAGTTCCTTTTATCCAGTACATCATATCTGGCATGGAACAAGAAAAGGCACAATAAATACTAAAAACAAGAAGAACCCTCCCCCCCCCCCCCCCCCGTTTTAAAGAGAGAAAGTAGTGGAATGAGACTCAGATGGCAACATTTTTGGAATTATCAGACTGGGAATTTAAAATAACTATGGTTAGTATGCTAAGGGCTCCAATGGAAAAGGTAGACAACATGGAAGAATAGATGGGTAATGTAAGCAGAGAGATGGAAACTATAAGAAAGAATCAAAAGGAAATGCTAGAAATAAACACAAATGAGGAATGCTTTTGATGGATTCATCAATAGACTTGAAATGGCAGAGGAAAGAATCAGTGAGCTTAAGGAAATGTTGGCAGAAACTTATCAAAATGTGTGCGTTAGTGAAAGTATTGCTGAGAGGGAAATTTAATAGCATTGAATGCATATATTAGGAAAGAAAAAATCTAAAATTAATAATCTAAGTTTTCACCACAGGAGGCCAGAAAAAGAACAAATTAAATCCAAAGTAAGTAGATTGTGAATCACTATGTTGTGTACCCGAAACTAATTTAACATTGTGTGTCAACCATACTAAACAAAAGAAAACAAAAAACAGAAGAAAAGAAATAATAAAAATGAGACCAGAAATCAGTGAAATTGAGATTTTCTTTGAGAAGATAAATAAAATTGGTAACTGTCTAGCAAGGTCAAAAAAGAAGGCTTAACAATATCATAAGATGAAACAACATTAGAATAATTGGGATCCCAGAAGAAGAAGAAAGAGAGA